TGGGGGTCAGTGGGAAGAATGTCCCTTACATTGGGGATTGGCAGAGAGGGGTGGAGGACACTGAATGGAGGCCAGTGGAGGGTTCGGCAGAGAGGGATGGAGGACACTGAATGGAGGCCAGTGGAGGGATTGGCAGAGAGGGGTGGAGGACACTGAATGGAGGTCACTGGAGGGATTGGCAGAGAGGGGTGGAGGACACTGAATGGAGGTCACTGAAGGGATTGGCAGAGAGGGGTGGAGGACACTGAATGGAGGTCAGTGGAGGGATTGGCAGAGAGGGGTGGAGGACACTGAATGGAGGTCACTGGAGGGATTGGCAGAGAGGGGTGGAGGACACTGAATGGAGGTCACTGGAGGGATTGGCAGAGAGGGGTGGAGGACACTGAATGGAGGTCACTGGAGGGATTGGCAGAGAGGGGTGGAGGACACTGAATGGAGGACACTGTATTGAGGCCAGTGGTTTCAATAGTTGAGATGAGAGATGACGAGGGAGGGAACTAGAAGCTTTGTGTTGCCATTGGTTAGGAAGGGGTGTATTCTGTCGTGGAGGTTGAGGATTGGACAGTGATTGGATGTGGGGCTGAAAGGCGAGTTCGGAGAAGTCAGGGAAGGGGCACGTTGAGGAGCAAATTCTTTTTTTTCTTCTGTTTTTTGAATGGGGAAAACTCCATTTCCGGTTGTCTCTCAGACGCTGGTGGCTGAAGGTCAGTTTTCCTCTATAATTATTTCCGTTAGTAAACGGTTGACACAACTCTGGTACCGCCGCGAGCTCAGCAAAGAACGCCGTCCCGACCAGCGGCCCGTCCCGAAGCTTGCTTAGCGTGTTGTTGTGAACGTCGTACATATTTAATGCAAAGATTATCTGTTCCTTCAGATGTTATGACTTCTCCTGGGGGGGATGGTGGACACAAATGATTCCCTGAAAGGAAATATCAGCAATTAGGATGCAGAGAACTGCAAGCTTGGAAACAATGTATCTGTGTGCAGCTTAAAGTGGACCGGTCAGTAAATGTACGAGTCCCCATAGATACATCCTTGATGTGTCACAATATACAGGACCAGGATCAGTGGTAAGAAAAGTTCCACCGTTCAACATTCAAAAGCCATCCTTGGGTTCCAGTCAGTGACTCTGCCTAGGCTGAAATGATGTCATCAGTCTGCTGCAGGCAGGAGAAGCATTTCCTCAGTCTCCCCTCCCCCAGTGATTAGACTGTACATTGTAACTTTGTAGAAGGAGGAGGAAGTGTTTCCTCAGTCTCCCCTCCCCCACTGATCAGACTGTATATTGTAACTTTGTAGAAAGAGGAGAAGGCATTTCCTTAGTCTCCCCTCCCCCGGTGATCAGACTGTACATTGTAACTTTGTAGAAGGAGGAAGAGTCATTTCCTCAGTCTCCCCTCCCCCAGTGACCAGACTGTACATTGTAACTTTGTAGAAGGAGGAGGAGGCATTTCCTCAGTCTCCCCTCCCCCAGTGATCAGAGTGTACATTGTAACTTTGTAGAAGGAGGAGGAAGCATTTCCTCAGTTTCCCCTCCCCCAGTGATCCAACTGTATATTGTAACTTTGTAGAAGAAGAAGGGACCGATTACTCAGTCTCCCCTCCCCCAGTGATCAGACTATAAATTGTAACTTTGTAGAAGGAGGAGGAGGCATTTCCTCAGTCTCCCCTCCCCCAGTGATCAGACTGTACATTGTAACTTTGTAGAAGAAGGAAGCAGCATTTCCTCAGTCTCCCCTCCCCCAGTGATCAGACTATACATTGTAATTTTGTAGAAGGAGGTGTTTCCTCAGTCTCCCCTCCCCCAGTGATCAGACTGTACATTGTAACTTTGTAGAAGGAGGAGGAAGCGTTTCCTCAGTCTCCCCTCCCCCAGTGATCAGGCTGTACATTGTACATGTGGACAAGGAAGATTCAGAGCATCAGATTAACTTTATCATTATGCCCCTTTGTCTCTGAAGGACGAAATTCAACAAAAAAAATATTTCCAACTAAGCTGCGGAGTTCAGTGCACTGAGAGTCACAGGTCTAGACATCTGCATTGGTCAATATAGGGGGCTCCTGCTCTCCCTGCTGGAAGCATCAATTGTGTGCAGGAACACCCAAAAATCTAAGGAAGGTAATAACAGAGCCAAGAATATGACATAAAGATCTTGAAGCAGATCTTGAAATAAATCAGCCATTCCCAACCAGGGATCTATGGAACCCCAGGGTTCCTCCAGGGGGTTCTTCTCTAGGATACCTCCAGAGTGTTCCTCTCTGGGGTTCCTTCAGAGGGCTCATCTCTAGGGTTTCTCCAGAGGATTCCTCTCTAGGGTTCCTGCAATGGGTTCTTTTCTAGGTTTCCTCCAGAGGGATTCTCTCTAGGGTTCCTTCAGAGGGTTCCTCTTTAGGGTTCCTTCAGAGGGTTCCTCTCTAGGGTTCCTGCAGAGGGTTCTTTTCTAGGGTTCCTCCAGAGGGTTCCTCTCTAGGGTTTCTCCAGAGGATTCCTCTCTAGGGTTCCTGCAATGGGTTCTTTTCTAGGATTCCTCCAGAGGGTTCCACACTAGGGTTCCTCACTAGGGTTCCTCCAGAGGATTCCTCTCTAGGGTTCCTGCAGAGAATTCCTCTTTAGGGTTCCTTCAGAGGGTTCCTTTCTAGGGTTCCTTCAGAGGGTTCCTCTCTCAGTTCCTCTCCAAGGTTCCTCCTGAGGGTTCTTCTCTAGGGATTCTCCAGAGGGTTCATCTCTAGGGTTTCTCCAGAGGGTTCATCTCTAGGGTTTCTCCAGAGGGCTCATCTCTAGGGTTTCTCCAGAGGATTCCTCTCTAGGGTTTCTGCAATGGGTTCTTTTCTAGGATTCCTCCAGAGAGTTCCACACTAGGGTTCGTCACTAGGGTTCCTCAAGAGGATTCTTCTCTAGGGTTCCTGCAGAGGATTCCTCTTTAGGGTTCCTTTCTAGGGTTCCTTCAGAGGGTTCCTCTCTCGGTTCCTCTCCAAGGTTCCTCCTGAGGGTTCCTCCTGAGGGTCCATCTCTAGGGATTCTCCAGAGGGTTCATCTCTAGGGATTCTCCAGAGGGTTCCTCTCTAGGGGTTTCTCCAGAGGGCTCATCTCTAGGGTTCCTTTTTAGTGGTCTATTTGGATTGCATTCTGAACACCACTGTAAGGGAGACATTCTTCGCATTAGCCACAAATATAAGAGGCATTTATTCCCTTTGACCACCAAGGAAATGTGTTTCCCTGAGTCCTGAAAATTATTTCAAAGGTCCCTAGTGAAAGGCCGCACTAGAGTAACAAAAAAATAGGCAGCCAACAGTTGCCTCTAGAAAAATACACTATATAGCCAAAACATTTGTGGACCCCTAACCATCTCACCTATAAGAACTTATTGGACTTCCCATTGCAAAACCATGGCAGTTGCCCCTCCCTTTGTAGTCATAACGACCTCCACTCTTTTGGGAAGACTTTCCACACAATTTTGGAAGATGTCCGTGGGAATGGGTGCCCATTTGCGAGGTCAGGTAATAATGTTAGATGAAAAGACGTGGCTCATATTCAGTGTTCCAAGTCATCCCAAAGGTGATCAGAAGGGTTACAATCGTGAAGGTAGTTGAGGAACACAATGGATAGAAAGTCTTAAAAACTTGATCCATTTGAAGAGCAAGTGTCACTTTATTGGTGTTGTCATAAAACATGGGCAATGTGTTTTGGGGAATTAGGGCTTCTCCTGTAGTGGTGGATCGATTGGTTGTGGGGACTGCAGTCTGTGTGCTAGTATGATATCTGTGTTCTGAAATATCTTTTGCTCCTGCAGTTGTAACATCCTCTACTGTACTGGGAAGGCCTTCCACATGACTTTGGAGGGTGTCTGTGGGAATACACACCTATTTGTAAGGCCAGGTACTGATGTTGGATGAGGAAAGCTGGCTCACACTTTGGGCCTCATGTTGGCCACCCAAAAATAGACCTGGCTCTGTGCAGAACACTCAAGTTCCTCCACACCAAATTGGTCACATCATGTCTTTATAGAGCTGGCTTTGTACACAGGGGCACAGACATGTTTGAACAGAAAAAGGTCTTCACCAAACTGTTACCACAAGGTTGGAAGAGCACACTTGTCTACAATGTCTCTGTGTGAATTAGTATTATTAGTACCTATCACCGGAAACCCCTAAATGCCATAATTTGGAGGGGGTCTCCATTGTTCAGGTGTCTCCAGTGGAGGGCACAGTTCATACTTCAGTTGTAGACATTTAAGCACTTCCACCATTTTGGTAACAGTTTGGGGAAGACCATTTTCTGTTCCAGCATGACTGTGCCCCTGTGTACAAAGCCAGCTCCATAAAGACATGGATGACCAGTTTGGTGTTGGAGGAACTTGAGTGTTCTGCACAGAGCCCTGACCTCAACCCCATAGAACACCTTTGGAAGCAATTGAACATTTTAGTTCCCTTGCCTAAAAGACATTTTGTGAGGTCAGGTACTGATGTTGGACCTGGCTCACCAATTCAACCCAAGGTGCTCAGTACGGTTGAGGTCAGGACTTGAAAGCCCATTTCAGTTCCTCCATAATTGGTCAAACTATGTCTTTATGGAGATGTCGGATGAGAAGACTTGGCTTGTTCCAATTCATCTTGAAGGAGTTCAGTAGTGTTAAGGTCAGGTCTCTGTGTGGGACACTCAAGTTCCTTGACACCAAACTGGTCAAACCATGTCTTTATGGAGATGTCGGATGAGAAGACTTGGCTTGTTCCAATTCATCTTGAAGGAGTTCAGTAGTGTTAAGGTCAGGTCTCTGTGTGGGACACTCAAGTTCCTTGACACCAAACTGGTCAAACCATGTCTTTATGGAGCTGGCTTTGTACACAGATGCACAGTCATCCTGGAACAGAAAATGTTTTTTTTTTTTAACAAACTGCTATCACAAGGTTTGAAGAGCATAATTGTCCACAGCAGGGGTCTCCAAACTTTTAAACAATGGGCCAGTTTACTGTCCTGCAGACTTTAGGAGAGCTGGAGTGGCCAATGGGAGTAGAAAATGTATCAGCGTCAGTAGGAGTAAAACAAATTACATAGTGCTTGTAGTCAGTGGAAGGTGGGGAATAGGAGGAATAGTGTCCAGTCATTGGTATTAGTTGGAGGAACAATGCCTTATCATTGGTGTCAGTGGGATGAATGGTGCCCCATCATTGGTGTTAGTGGGTGGAATAGTGTCCCATCATTGGTGTCAGTGGGAGGAATAGTGCCCCATCATTGGTGTCAGTGGAAGGAACAGTGCCCCATCATTGGTGTCAGTGGAAGGAACAGTGCCCCATCATTGGTGTCAGTGGAAGGAATAGTGCCTCATCCTTGGTATTAGTTGGAGTTATAGTATCTAATTGTTTATATAAGTGGGAGGAATAGTGCCCCATCATTGGTGACAGTGGGAGGAATAGTGCCCCATCATTGGTATCAGTGGGAGGCATAGTGTCCTATCATTGGTATCAGTGGGAGGAATAGTGCCCCATCATTGGTGACAGTGGGAGGAATAGTGCCCCATCATTGGTATCAGTGGGAGGAATAGTGCCCCATCATTGGTGACAGTGGGAGGAATAGTGCCCCATCATTGGTATCAGTGGGAGGAATAGTGTCCTATCATTGGTATCAGTGGGAGGAATAGTGCCCCATCATTGGTCTCAGTGGGAGGAATATTGCCCCATCATTGTCTCAGTGGGAGGAATAGTGCCCCATCATTGGTGTCAGTGGAAGGAATAGTGCCCCATTGTTCTCAGTGGGAGGAATATTGCCCCATTGGTCTCAGTGGGAGGAATATTGCCCCATTATTGTCTCAGTGGGGGGAATAGTGCCCCATCATTGGTGTCAGTGGAAGGAATAGTGCCCCATCATTGGTGTCACTGGAAGGAATATTGCCCCATTGGTCTCAGTGGGAGGAATAGTGATCCATCATTGGTGTCAGTGGAAGGAATAGTGCCCTATCATTGGTGTCAGTGGAAGGAATATTGCCCCATCCTTGGTATTAGTTGGAGTTATAGTATCTAATTGTTTATATAAGTGGGAGGAATAGTGCCCCATCATTGGTGACAGTGGGAGAAATGGTGCCCTGTCATTGGTGTTAGTGGGAGGAATAGTGCCCCATCATTGGTGTCAGTGGAAGGAATAGTGCCCCATCATTGGTGTCAGTGGAAGGAATAGTGCCCCATCACTGGTATCAGTGGAAGGAATAGTGCCCCATCACTGGTATCAGTGGGAGGAATAGTGCCCCATCACTGGTATCAGTGGGAGGAATAGTGCCCCATCATTGGTATTAGTGGGAGGAATAGTGCCCCATCATTGGTATTAGTGGGAGGAATAGTGCCCCATCATTGGTGTCAGTGAAAGGGAAAATGCCCCATAGTTGGTGTCAGTGGAAGAAATTGTGCCTCCTTGTTGGTGTCAGTGGGAGGAATAGTACCCCGAGGGCCGGATAGAGGCAGGCAAAGGGCCGCAGTAGTATTACTAGTACTCTTCACTGGAGATACCATCATTGGGAGAGAGGTCCATGTACTGCGTGCCATATAGTGATTCTGCTTGGAGTGGGATGACCCTATTGACGTTATTGATAGAGCTCTTTAATCATGAAGCTCCAAAGACAGGACTGATGTTCGAAGAGAAGACCTGGCTCCCATGTTGGATCCCACATTGGGCACCAAAACGAAGACCCGACTCACCATCAGCATTCCTGTTCATCTCAAATGTGTTCAGTAGGGTTGAGGTCAAGACTTTGTGCAGGACACTGAAGTTCCTCCACACCAAACTGGTCAAACCATCATGTCTTTATGGAGCCGGCTTTGTACACAGGGGACAGTCATGGTAGAACAGGAAAAGGTCTTCACCAAACTGTGACCCCAAGGTTGGCAGAGCGCGATTGTCTATCATGTCTTTGTACGATGGAATATTAACAGAATCCATGACTGGGGACACCTGAACTCCATAGTTTGGGGTCAAGGTCCATTCTCTCTCTTTCTTTTATGAACATCAGGAACCTATTTACTGAAAAATATCGGATACAAGAGAAAAGTAATGGAATCCCTTTTTGCACAATGCTGGCTGTGTCGAATCTTCTGGCCTCCTGCGGATATTGCAGGACAGGAGAAGTGGGACTGTGCAGAGTCCATACATACAGAATAAGGACAGATACTGAGTATGACACCCGGCATCCGGGACAGGAGAAGTGGGACAGATACTGAGAATGGGAGAGGGGTTCACGTACTGTGGGCCATATAGTGATTCTGCTTGGAGTGGGATGACCCTATTGACATTAATGATAGAGCTCTTTACTCATGAAGCTCCAAAGACAGGACTGATGTTGGAAGAGAAGACCTGGCTCCCATGTTAGATCCCACATTGGGCACCAAAAAGAAGACCTGACTCACCATCAGCATTCCTGTTCATCTCAAAGGTGTTCAGTAGGGTTGAGGTCAAGACTTTGTGCAGGACTGTGAAGTTCCTCCACAACAAACTGGTCAAACCATGTCTTTATGGAGCCGGCTTTGTACACAGGGGACAGTCATGGTAGAACAGGAAAAGGTCTTCACCAAACTGTGACCCCAAGGTTGGAAGAGCACGATTGTCTATCATGTCTTTGTACGATGGAGTATTAACAGAATCCATGACTGGAGACACCTGAACTCCATAGTTTGGGCTCAATGTCCATTCTCTCTCTTTCTTTTATGAACATCAGGAACCTATTTACTGAAGAATATCGGACACAAGAGAAAAGTAATGGAATCCCTTTTTGCACAATGCTGGCTGTGTCGAATCTTCTGGCCTCCTGCGGATATTGCAGGACAGGAGAAGTGGGACTGTGCAGAGTCCATACATACAGAATAAGGACAGATACTGAGTATGACACCCGGCATCCGGGACAGGAGAAGTGGGACAGATACTGAGAATGGGAGAGGGGTTCACGTACTGCGGGCCATATAGTGATTCTGCTTGGAGTGGGATGACCCTATTGACATTAATGATAGAGCTCTTTACTCATGAAGCTCCAAAGACAGGACTGATGTTGGAAGAAAAGACCTGGCTCCCATGTTAGATCCCACATTGGGCACCAAAAAGAAGACCTGACTCACCATCAGCATTCCTGTTCATCTCAAAGGTGTTCAGTAGGGTTGAGGTCAAGACTTTGTGCAGGACTGTGAAGTTCCTCCACAACAAACTGGTCAAACCATGTCTTTATGGAGCCGGCTTTGTACACAGGGGACAGTCATGGTAGAACAGGAAAAGGTCTTCACCAAACTGTGACCCCAAGGTTGGAAGAGCACGATTGTCTATCATGTCTTTGTACGATGGAGTATTAACAGAATCCATGACTGGAGACACCTGAACTCCATAGTTTGGGCTCAATGTCCATTCTCTCTCTTTCTTTTATGAACATCAGGAACCTATTTACTGAAGAATATCGGATACAAGAGAAAAGTAATGGAATCCCTGTTCGCACAATGCTGGCTGTGTCGGATCTCCGGGCCTCCTGTGGATATTGCAGGACAGGAGAAGTGGGACTATGCAGTCCATACATACCAAATAAGGACAGATACTGAGAATGGGAGAGGGGTTCACGTACTGTGGGCCATATAGTGATTCTGCTTGGAGTGGGATGACCCTATTGACGTTATTGATAGAGCTCTTTACTCATGAAGCTCCAAAGACAGGACTGATGTTGGAAGAGAAGACCTGGCTCCCATGTTGGATCCCATTGGGCACCAAAAAGAAGACTCGACTCACCATCAGCATTCCTGTTCATCTCAAAGGTGTTCAGTGGGGTTGAGGTCAAGACTTTGTGCAGGACACTGTTGTTCCTCCACATCAAACTGGTCAAACCATCATGTCTTTATGGAGCCAGCTTTGTACACAGGGCACCGTCATGGTAGAACAGAAAAAGGTCTTCACCAAACTGTGACCACAAAATTGGCACAGCGCGATTGTCTATCATGTCTTTGTACGATGGAGTATTAACAGAATCCATGACTGGGGACACCTGAACTCCATAGTTTGGGGTCAAGGTCCATTCTTTCTCTTTCTTTTATGAACATCAGGAACCTATTTACTGAAGAATATTGGATACAAGAGAAAAGTAATGGAATCCCTTTTCGCACAATGCTGGCTGTGATGGATCTCCGGGCCTCCTGTGGATATTGCATAACAGGAGAAGTGGGACTGTGCAGAGTCCATACATACAAAATAAGGACAGATACCGAGAATGATACCCGGCATCCAGGACAGGGGAAGTGGGACAGATACTGAGAATGGGAGAGGGGTTCACGTACTGCGGGCCATTTAGTTATTCTGCTTGGACTGGGATGACCCTATTGACGTTATTGATAGAGCTCTTTACTCATGAACCTCCAAAGACAGGACTGATGTTGGAAGTGAAGACCTGGCTCCCATGTTGGACCGCACATTGGGCACCAAAAAGAAGACCCGACTCACCATCAGCATTCCTGTTCATCTCAAAAGTGTTCAGTAGGGTTGAGGTCAAGACTTTGAGCAGGACACTGGAGTCCCTCCACACCAAACTGGTCAAACCATCATGTCTTTATGGAGCCGGCTTTGTACACAGGGGAACAGTCATGGTAGAACAGGAAAAGGTCTTCACCAAACTATTACCCCAAGGTTGGAGGAGCACAATTGTTTATCATGTCTTTGTATGATGGAGTATTAACAGAATCCATGACTGGAGACACCTGAACTCCATAGTTTGGGGTCAAGGTCCATTCTCTCTCTTTCTTTTATGAACATCAGGAACCTATTTACTGAAGAATATCGGATACAAGAGAAAAGTAATGGAATCCCTGTTCGCACAATGCTGGCTGTGTCGGATCTCCGGGCCTCCTGTGGATATTGCAGGACAGGAGAAGTGGGACTGTGCAGAGTCCATACCAACAGAATAAGGACAGATACCGAGTATGACACCCGGCATCCAGGACAGGAGAAGTGGGACAGATACTGAGAATGGGAGAGGGGTTCACGTACTGCGTGCCATATAGTGATTCTGCTTGGAGTGGGATGACCCTATTGACATTATTGATAGAGCTCTTTACTCATGAAGCTCCAAAGACAGGACTGATGTTGGAAGAGAAGACCTGACAACCATGTTGGATCCCACATTGGGCACCAAAAAGAAGACCCGACTCACCATCAGCATTCCTGTTCATCTCAAAGGTGTTCAGTAGGGTTGAGGTCAAGACTTTGAGCAGGACACTGGAGTTCCTCCACACCAAACTGGTCAAACCATCAAGTCTATGGAGCCAGCTTTGTACACAGGGGACAGTCATGGTAGAACAGCAGACCTGGCTCCCATGTTGGATCCCACATTGGGCACCAAAACGAAGACCCGACTCACCATCAGTATTCCTGTTAATCTCAAAGGTGTTCAGTAGGGTGGAGGTTAGGGCTCTGTGCAGGACATTGAAGTTCCTTCACACCAAACTGGTCCTCCATGTCTTTATGGAGCCGGCTTTGTACACAGGGGCACCGTCATGGTAGAAAA